ATATATATATATATATTTTCCTGATAACCAGGGTGCACCGCATTGCACTCACTATGCACAACGCGGTGTATGCAAGTTTGGGCCTGCATGCAAATTCGACCATCCTATGGGAGGATTAAGTTACAGTCCATCTGCATCTTCCCTTGCTGATATTCCAGTTGCACCATACCCTGTGGGATCTTCGATTGGTACTCTGGCTCCATCATCCTCATCTTCAGAGTTGCGGCCAGAACTTACTACAGGATCCAGTAACGATGCTGCTTCAACCAGAATGTCCTCGTCGGTGAGCACATCTAGTGAATCAGTTGGTTCAGTGCTCTCCAGAACTGGACCTGTTACTCAGTCAAGCACACAACAGTCTTCTCAGGGTTCTGCTCCTCCTACTGGCAATGGTGGCAGTAGCAGCAGCAGTGAGGCACCTCCTTCAAGCTAAGAGAAAAGTGGAGCAACAGCCTCGATCTTCTTTTTTTATCAAGGCTATGAACCAAACCACTTATTTTTTTGGTGAGAGTCTTCAAAGTTGGAGGCTTCATTTCTCCGTTACATAGTTCCATGATTCAGGTCTAGCACACACATTAGCTCTGATCATCTATGTGTCCATATAGTCTTCGAAAGGCCATCTATTGAATCTTGAATAAGCCCATGGCCAACCTTAAAAAAGTTTAGCAAAATTCCCATACTCCCACTTTGCTTTCAAATAACCATGAAAGGATCTGCAGTTCATTTAGGAAAGTCTGTGTCTACCCCATCCCATTTTTGGAGTCTGTTGTGTATGTTTTGCACCGATCTTTTTCAGAAAAAAGATCAGTCCTACAGGATTCTTCCCTTGAACATCAACTGTATTCAAATCTATCATTTTTAAGTTAAAACCCAGGAAAAAGCTTTCCTATTCAACCTCAAAAGGCACTTGAAGCTATGTTTTCTCCCCCACTTTTACTGGGGTTTATCTGAAAAGGAGCTCCATGGAGTCATTAGAATGTGACAATATATGGGATTAGATACACAATTATGTTGTGACAATTGAAATGCTTGCATGGTTTCGATAAATTTATCTTGATATACAAATATATATATATATATATATATATATATATATATGAGACCTACTTTTGACTTGTAATAATTTGCCTGTAGCCTTCTATTTTCCAGTTTTGAGATTGAACTTTATTTCTAACCTTCAAATGTGGTAAGTTTCAGGTAAGAAAGTGCCCTCTTAGATTTGCTTTTATCTTTCTGAGGTGTCCTCTCCAGCATTCTAGCTAGGAACCAAAGTTCTCTTTACTTTCTTCTCTATGAGGTTGAATATAAATTTCTCCATCATTCGTCATTGCTATGATATTTATAGACCATCTTGTTATAGACCATCTTCATATGATCCATGCAAACTGGTTCAAGACACGAAAACCTTATTTTAAAATGTCAATTATTTCTTGATGTCAAAACAAGCACATCAGACCAAAGCAAACGATTCATCCCACGGTTATTTTTTATGATCGAATCCATAACAATTATATATACTCATTTTCTGACAAGCGACTCAACCCTGAATTCTCTCAAGGTTTCAACGGTTCACTTTATTACTAAATTTCATAATTCCTTCATAATGGAATAAAGGAATTGGATTGCAATTCAAATTTTCATTATTAAGCGACTGCACCAGGAACATTTTGGAGTCTAACCTACCTAGAATTATTGTAACCTTGGTCGGCTCTACTTGCTTTTGTAGCATTAATCTTGAGCTGATAAAATTAAACCATTGGAGTTATAGCATAGCCATAACATTCGTTGGAGGAGGAAATGGAATTAAATTAGGGAGCAGGTGAGAGGAAAGGAGCATTAATGGAAGAGACATGTGGTGAGACAAAAAGCGCTTGAAACTATTGCATGCATTGCATATACTCTCAGTAAGACAGAGTCTGGCTTTAGGGTTGTTGAGAAAAAGTAGGGCAAAGTAGCCCATAAGAGACAGACTCCATGCAGTCTAAAACATTAATTTCTTTACTCATGACTCATCACTGCACAATCACAAATCTCTGTTACTAGCATTACTTTTCTTCAAACTAACTTTTCTCAAACACCTTACACTCATTCTTCTGAACATTCTTTCCATGTTTCTTTCCAACACAAAATACAGTGAAAGAGTGAGAGAGAAAGAGAGAGAGAAGATAAAGGAAACCAAAAGATGCATTTCTCCGTGGCAGTGGGTAAGAGATAGAGCCTTCTATGTTGGAGCTCTAAGATTTGGACTTGCACGATGAGAGATTTGAAAAAGGAGAGTACTATCCCGAGTTATATAACCCATAACCCATTTTAAAAAAGTGAATAGCCCAAATCAACTACATCACCAAAAGGAAGAGAAGTAGGAGGAACTGAAGCAGCATCGTAGCTTTGATTTTCATGAAATGGGTAAAACATGCACCTATCTTCTTCCCTCATATATGGAGCTGGGTTGTTGAACATGACTGAAAGTTCATCAGTATTCAGTCCACCCCATGACTGCTGCTCACCCCAAAAACTCTGAAAATTTAGTTCATTAAAGCTGGGAGACTCCCCATTGTTGTATTTCGGCTGATGACCCTCATTTTGGAAAGGAAGAGCATGATTTTCAGAATGTGGTTGGTTTTCATTGGAGTTTTTGGTCATGGAGTCAGGAGGAGGTCTCAAGCAGTTATCAGGAACAATGCAGGCCAAGTACCCTGAATTTGCATCATTCTCTGTACTAGAGAGAAAGAAGCTGGTAAGATCATCGTGATCATCAACTGACGCATATGGGGTTTGATCAGCGGATGTGTCATTGTTGGATTGGACAGTGGTGTTGACATGGCAGATGTCAAGTTGAGGTGGACTGCCCTGGTTGGTTCCACTCTGTTTAGGCAGAGTGCCAGCAGAAGAAGCAAGAAGCTGTGATTTGGGCAGCAGGGTTTGGATATCAAAAGGAGAAATAAGAGAATGGAAATTGGAAGTGTTAATATCAGAGTAAACAAAGTTTGTTCTTGCTTGGGTGCCTTTCATGGAGAGTGCAGCTCTGTCATAAGCCAGAGCAGCTTCTTGGGCAGTGTCAAAGGTGCCAAGCCAGTGCCTTTCTTTAGTTGTTGGGTCTCTGATCTCTGCTGCATACCGCCCCCACGGCCGCCGCCTCACCCCCAGGAACCTCCCTGGCTCTGCCTGTTTTCTCCTGCCTCTCCTCTCACCAGACTGAGGTGGGGATGTGTTGCGCTGAAGTAGAGCAAAACCTGTTTCTGTCTGTGCTGCTGCTAATTCATATCCAAAGGCCTTCTCATAGTTGTTAGAACTTGCCATTGCAATGAGGAAGAAAGAACAGTACTGTAATTGGGAAGAAGAAGAAGAAAGAAGAAGAAGAAGAAGAAGAAGGTGATGGATGGAATTGAAGGGGAGAGTCTGAGGAGGGCTTTTAAAGGAGAAATGTGGGGGATGGGATGAAATAAAAAGGACAATATATTGTTGTTGTCCTTCTCTGGAAGTCCATCCTACCCTCCCTTTCTACCTACTTTTAAACCTTTCTTCTCCCTTTTTTAAATGAGAGTCGGTATTTTATGGTCAAGATTATATTGATGATCTATAAAATAAAAATAATTAAATGCTGAGATAATTTTTTTCAATGATTTAAAGTATACAATATAAAGTGCACAATAGTTTTTTATTTTTTACTTTTCTCTTAAAAAAATTCGTTGTAACTGGAGTTGTTGTAGAACTATTGAAAAAGTGCTGTATCTACTCATTGTCATCGACTTAATAGCAGTATACATCTATATTTGCTAGTGCTAATCTCCTTCTCGTGGAATTATTGTTGCATTACTTGCATGTTACTGTAATGATGTAAAATTTGCATTAGGTTAATGTAAGCATGGGATTACCGGGATTTAATTAACATCAAAAGATTACTCCAATAAACATAATCAAGTCGCATGTAATTTGGTTAATGATCACTAGCTAATCTACGTGAAAAAAGAAAGTGACACTTTCTAGCTTCTTCAGCTATGGGTTTCAAATAGAATAATTAAAGATGTCTAAGTTAATGAATTATGTTTAACAAAGATTATGATTGAGTGGTTGGTAAGACCAAACTTTCCTTGAATGGTAGGATTAATATAATCTTGCAGATAAAACCAGACAACCATGGAAAACAGCAGCAGAATTTTTACCTGCAAACTCCTAGAGTGTCTAAAACATTTGAATTTTCGAAATGTTGATTCATATTAGTCCTAATAATTAGTATAAATCTCATTTGAATCCGCATTTTGAGCAAAATAAATCAATTGGGAAGTTCTCAAGTTGTCTGCTTCATGAAATTTTCAAAGGGAGTGGTTAAGAAGAGGTAAAATAATCTGTTAATTATATATATATATTATTTAAAGTTTTTCACAGTTTGAACTATAAAAATACAAATTATTGAATGAGGAACCACCTCTAATATTAAAAGAACTTATTTTTATTCAATAATTATATAGTTCAAACTATATAACATTTTTTATTTATTTATTGTATTAGTTAAAATTTTACTAAAGAACAAAATGTTTAAGATTTTAAAGGTATTTAATTTAATGCTCCCGTCATAATGGTCCATTAGTCAAACTGTTTGTTATGTTCCTGCTTGTCATTATATGACAAGCTAAAAATCATTGTTTTACCATTAAAACTCTTAACAAGAGACATGGGCTAAAATCCTGGCCTTATTCTCATTTGATGCTAAAATTAGAACATCTAATAACTTAGGATTTATATGCTTTTTATCTTTGTTACAAGAAAATACAAACTTTCTTTTGCAAGTTTGCAGTCAAGTGATCTATTAAATCATTACACGTGTTCTTGTTATCAAGACTTAATCAATAAAGTGGGAACTAAGTCTACTTACAAATCAGGAAACTCCTCAATCAACCACTTTTAAAGGTTGGGAATAACAATTAGAAAGTGAATTTGGAGGAGAAGATAGAACAAAGATGTCCTAATTGCACATGGTGGGACAACATTCTACATTTTGGAATTGGGAGTTCTTTCTTCTTTGCAACTGTCTTATCAGTTACTCTCTTTGAAGCAAAAATTGTAAATCAAAATATAAATTAGGTTCAGAAAGAAAGATGTAAGGATTTATGAACACTGGATCAAGCAACTTTTTATTCTTCTAATCTTGTCCCTTCGTTTCTTCCTAATAAAGCAAAGCCTTGAAGAAAACATGAGTTCTCTGTTTCTGAACTCGATTGCTCTGAAAGCAAGAATCAAAAGGCTACAGTCAAAAGAGGAATCCAAAGGGTTAAAGAATAATTTGTGGAGGAAGGTGGATTAAACTGCCCAAACAAAAGAAAAATGTGGGGCACTAATACTTTTAATTAACAGTTCCAACATGAGAAAGTGCAAAAATGATTAATCATCTTCATTAACCCCCCTCACATGCCTTAATGGCATTGGGAATGACGAAAAACTATCATTATCAAAAATGGGTCAACCCCATTGTCTTGATTTTCAGCATTTCTCAATCCCACAATAGCTTTTCCACTAAACATCATCAATTTTATAATGGATTGATCCATATTAGATATGATGAATAAATTCATGAAACCAAAATATATAAGAAAATTGCTAAGCAACATTCTATGTGTGATTGATCTATGTAGTAAGTATTTATTTTATTACTGATTTAGGTCAAAAATTAAAATATTTAAAATTTAAAAATACGAAAAGAGTGTCAAAGATAAAGTATAAAAGAAAATATTGCTAATAAGTGGAAAGTGAGAGATGACTAGCTCAACTACCTATGGAATGAGAGTTTTGAAGTTAATTTATTAATTAACCATTTTCAATTCTTTTAAGAATGAAATTAGACATGGAGTATGACCCACACTTGACTCCTCCACTAAAGATTTCAAGAAGGAAAATGCTTAGAGAATTTAGCTTCATTTGACCCTATCTATCTCACTAGCTAGTGCAACATGGGTGATGTTATCATAATATTCTCTGGTGGACCAAAACACATACATGTGGTAGAAAGACAGAGAGAAAGATCACATAAGAAAAATCCAAACTGAAAAAGCACACTTTCTTCCTTATTTTCGGGATTAGACTGAAAAAATAAACACATCAAAAACCCCACATGCAAAAGCAAAAACAGGGGAAATCACAAATCTAGTTATATCACATATACCTTCTTTGATTTACCATTGGGTATTACCATTAAAGAAAGGAGTTTAATTTTCAACATTATAAATTTAACAAAGTAACGAATTAAAAAAATTTTGACATATCAATAACTAATTGTTTAGCATATCTTATTTTTAAATAAAATTGACTACTCTTTACAAACGATAGACGTTTTAAAATGATCTATAAATGTTGATAAAATATTATATTATCACTATCTTGTTACATAATCACTATCATATTAATGTTCTTAATACCATACAAGAGATACCATACGAGGGAGAAGAAAAGGGTCAGTCAAGGGAGCCTTCTGAAAAGGTGTGAGAATGAGAGTGGAAGGGAAAAGCAACAAAGGGTACAATTGTTCAAACCTAAAAATGTATTTGTATTTAAAGACACTAATAAAATGCCCTTAAAATGAAGGGTCCCCCGCCCACTGCATTCTGCCCTTCCCTCTCATATATGGTTACCTTTTCTTGACAATCAAGGGATTTCTGGGTTTTGTGTCAAGTATAGAAGAAGAATTGTCACACTCCCCAAAAACATGCACCCACTTTTGTTCTTGTTGTGTTTAATGTCACCCGGGATTTAGGGAAAAAGATGGAGGTATGTCTTTCTTTGACAGAGAAAAAAATGGAAATAATGATTTGGCAGCGATTTTATCATGAAAATTGCACCATTTTGGGTGATTTTTTTTTTTTTTTTAAGGGTTTTCATGGTTCAATCCCTATACCCTTTCTTTCTACTTTTCTAGTCAAGCAGTCAAGCAGTCAAGCGCAAACACTCGTGGGTTTCCACCAAGTTGGGGATTATTTTAGGGTTTAAATTCATATACTATGCAAGTTGGGTTTTGAGGTTGATAAGATTGATTTGTTGGCCTACACAAAATGCCCTTTCACTAAATATTGTAGGTCAGGGAAAATCATTTGGGGTGGAGTATGTAATTGGACTTAAAGGACCTAATATCTACGAATCAAAAAAAATTATATACCATATGATTGATAATAAAGAATATTTAGTATATATTATAGTTTTTTAATCAACAAAATAATGCTTTATTTAAAGAAAAGTATTAATTTGTGACTTGATAAACACAATGTAGCAACTATGATAACATTCTTGACTCAGAAGTCTTCTTGCAATTCATGTAACAAAAACTTCTTGTGGTAATCCCTCTGACTTTAGGGAGTCATATGTGACTTTGTAAATTGCATGGTGTCATAAGGATAAAAATGAAAATTGAAGAGGGACATGCACAGCAAAAACCGGATTCGACGCCGACCTTTTGAAGTCAGCCAATGAGGCTGTGCCACGAAAACCGAAATATTACCAAACCAAATCTAGAATCTCTTTGACCGACACGTGGAACTGTTGCCGCATAAATCACATTTCAGATTCGAGGATCTCAGTTTACTCTGGATACGGATTTGGTTATCAATAATAATGTTATGAATAATGATAGAGACGTTGAAATTTTAAGATAAAT